AACTTTCGACCTTTTGGTCACACAAATCGAACTCTCAAACGAATCAAACCTCTTTGTGGTTAAGATTTATGATTTTTTTACTTAATTGTAGTGTTATTAACACTATGCAGTCGTCAAACTGGTTAAAGTACTGATACGATAATATAGCGGTTCAATCGGTAGTTCACTAAGTAAATCTCGTACCGGTAAAATTAAATATACATATATATATTATATTAACATTAATGTTAAAAAATTAATAAAGAAGTCAATAATTACTTTTATTAATTTACACAATTGGTTAAAACAAGATGTGTTACTTTGTGGTGTTACAATATTTTAGAAGTATAAATAAATGTAATAATTGTTTGTTTGATTCTTCTACACTAACATTTTGATAAAAACTAAATTGTCAGTATGACTAGTAGAGTTCAATTGAAAAGTGGCTCGTATGATTAGGGATGACAATGGTTCTAGATGGGTTCAGGTAGTGCATTACTCAAACCCGCCCCACTGCTTTGTTTCTAGACCCAGACTCATGCTAATACCTGCTGGGTATACTACCCATGAATCTTTGGGTACTCAACGGATCTATGAGTACCCATAAATTTAAAAATATTAAAGTAATTGCAATAAATTTATGCATTTGTGTATTTGTTTCATACGATCTTATATGTTATTTAGACAATTAACAAGAGAAAAAATTAATTTTAAAGTTTTAAAACATCATAATTTGACTATTAAACACAACTCATTTTACTCTAACAAACATTAAAAACAACTTCAACATTAGGATATGATATTATAATTATGGATTAATATGATATTACAATTTAGATTAACATGATATTACAATCAGGTTGTTATATATATATATATATGAAGAAATAGCAGGTCTAGGTACCCACAGGTCTGGGTACCTTATTACCCGGACCCAGACCCATCTAATAACGAATCTTAAAATTACGGGTCTCAATTACCTACAGGTCCAAAACATAGACCCAGATCCGATCTGTTGCAGGTATTTTTTGCGGTTACCCGCGGATCCGGATACCCATTGTCAATGATTGATTTTGACTAATAAATTATTTAACTTGTTTTCTATTTGATAATATACATTTAAAAAGAAAGGAAGGGGAATAACTATCTTCTTCCTAGGAATAGTAACTTTTTAAGACCTATCTATAGGTAGGATAATTAGACTAAACATGGCAAATTTATTGATCTCTATACACCAATGAACTTCTTGCATTGTAAATTGCTAAATTCTGGAATCTTTAACATAAAAGGAATTCATGAAGTCAAGAGATAATGCACATAAAAAAATTATTCTATAATTTATTATCATGCATTTGGATAATATATGCATAATTAACTTTGTGAAATTTAAAGAAAGATATAGTGCTATTTAATTGTTTTCTCTTATACAATAATTAACACACAAATTTACAACAATTAAGATACATTGATTATTTAATGGTATTTTGTATTGAGTATTATTTTATTTTGCACATTTTCATATCCATTAAAGTTTTCCTTTCCTGAAAAGGGTTTTACATATGTCATTTTAGGATGAATCTACCTTTAATTGCTTCAAAGTTTTTAAACTTTTCCTTTGAAATTATTTTTCTTGGGGTCATGAAGGGGGGAAGGGAATGAATATTAACCAGGTTGAAAGTTCAAATCCTATCCACAGAAAAATACCAACATACCATTATTTATCTATTAAAAAAATATTCATTTTTTTCAGTTTATTATTATTAATTTATTTAAGAGAACTTGAATTTAAATTTTGATATCTTAGTTTTTCCTTTCATATAAATTATTTATGCTATAGAATTTTCATTATTTTAATATTTCATATTCCATTTTCTGATGTGTGTCTTTGTTGTTGTGGTTACAGAATCAAGTTTATCATAACTTTCATATTATATATTACAATAATTTTCAGGGTGTTTAAATATGGGCCGATCCAAAAGAGAAGTTGAAAATCATTCCAAAAATCACAAAAAATGAAATGGTTTAGATGGTGTTGGATTGGTTTTTAGAAAACCAATAAGGACGGATCAATTTTTAGTTCCAATTTTATAAGCCAGGCCGAACCAACACTAATTAAAGGAAGATTATTTCATTTCTAAATATAATTAATTTTAGAATTGATAATCTAAAATATACATTTTTTATATTTTCTAATTGTATAAAGTGTTATTAGTACTTTTTTTTGGTTAAAATTATCTTGGTATGTTACTGGTGTAATTTCTTTGTGTTTCATTTTTCAGTTATTTTTATTTTTGTTGTCAATTTTTAATTGAAATGAATATTATTAATGTTCAATTAATAATATATCACACTTGATATAAGTTGTGTATGAGTAGAATTATTTATTTTTAATGTGAATTTAACACTCTCAAAACATAATAAACATATTATTTTGAAATATATATGTTTTTCATGTAAACTTGACACTTTAAAAGTGTGCTAGATTTATTACTTTTCATTAAAAAAAACTGAATCAAACCGGACTGAAAAATGTAAACACAAATTTTGATTGAATTACTTAATGTAAGTCAACCAAATTGAACCAGACCGTTATTTATATATTCAAATCAAATGATTTTTGCATAAAAACTGATCCAAACGAACCACGAACATCTATCCCTAACAATAACAACCAAATCTTAATCTCACTAAATGAGATTCCACACTATTTGATAATTATTTATTTTAGTTTTAATGTTTTTATAATCTGATTATGCATATAATTCATTAATCATGATGACTTTAACTATTTTCTAGATTTGAAAATAAATTATTGCAAGATGTTTTGTTATAAGGTAGTTTCTGTTATTATTCATCATTCATTTTCAATCATCATTGATTGTTTTCAAAAAATATGAATGAAAAGTAATAATATATTAATTGTGTATAAATATTTACATTGATAGTACATAGATATTATATATACTCTATATAATATATAAGATGGGTTTATTATGATTCTTTAAAAAATTAATCATCATGAAACACTACCTTTTTATTCAACCTTCTATAACTCAAACATAGATTGTTATATATATATATATATATATATATATATATATATATATATATATATATATATATATATATTACTAATTTTCATCAAATTCAAATTTTAGTTAAAATACACCCAAAATAATCTTACTATTTCAAGAGCGCAATATTTATGCACTGTTATTGTAAAGATTTATACACAATTATTATGTCATTCATCATCCATTTTAATTATTTTTTCTGTGAACCAATGACAATTAAAGAAAATGATGAACGATATAAACAGTAAATAGAACTCATATACAATTAGTATATATATATTTTTCTCTCTTTAATAGGTTCTGTATCAATGCTTAAGGTTGTAGGATCTTTATATATTGAGACCTATAAATTACATTCCTAAATATAATGTCGATATAAAACCTATTAAGCTAACACTATTTATATAAGATAACTTGGGTAATGATACCTTTGTACGTACACACACTATGAGAGAGAATTGCATTCACCTCTCTATGACAATATTTAATATCACAATGGATTCAGTTACTCTAATAGTCAGTGGAAAAATTTACTCTGTATCTTAACTATTTATCTAATTATTTAAATTAGTGAATATATCTAAATCATTAAATTTGTCTAGAATGAATAGCTAAGATGTGAAGTAAGTTTTTTTCACTTAGTAAGTGAATCATCTCTCAAAATATATTATTAATCAAGTTATTTTGAATAGCTTATAGTTTAATAGGTTATGTATCAATGTTTTAAGTTAGTAAAACCAAAATATACTGAGAATCTTATAATCAAACATTTTTATATGTGAATTATATGTTGAAGTAATATCATCTCAAATAACTTGTTTTTATTTGACATGCTCGTTTAAATATGTATGTGTCTATAATTGTTATTAATTCCAAATTTTATTACACAAAAAACACAACTTATTAAAAATATTTATGTGCATATATATATTGATAAAAACTTGTAGAAGGATATATCCTAATAGTTTTAGGAATATATATATTTAGGCTTCTAAGTTACATCCATCAATATTAATAATTACTAACTTTTTCAAACAATGTAAGCTTAAAAGGTTATATATCAAACATTTAGGAAAGTTGTTTATTTTATTAATATATAATAAATATAGTATGTGAGAAATTATGTATAAGAAACTTTAATCTCTGAAAATAAAAATAATATATATATATATATTAAAATTTTATTGACAAACAATTTTTCTTGAAAAATATATATTACCATATCTTAATTTTTCGTTGTTCTCTGACTATCTGTAATCTTTTAAAAAAAGTTGAATAAAATTAATCCAATTAAATATGACCTATTTGGATTTATTTTTTTTATTTGTTCTTAAGGATTATTATTACTCCACGTATAAATTTATTCAATATTTTCTTGATCCTAATGTTCAATTTGATGTATAACTAAAATAAATGTATTTCCATGGGAGAGCAAAATATAAGACCATTTAAGAAGTTGATATTAAAAAATGGACGGAACTTACATGCAATATATGTATTAATGGTATAAGTAACCAATAATTAATTGACATTTGGATCCTTTTTCACTTCACCAAACTCACACTGTATAACTTTTCAACTCTATTAACTCTTTATTTTTCTTATTTCTTCCCTCAGCATAAACATTTTTCTTAGGAGTTAAGATCATCTCCTGTATTGAACAATCCAATACAGAAATGTGTATTCTAGATTAAACTGATCATTTAAAATAAAGATTTAATTAAAACTAAGTTAAAATTTACATCATTAAAAAATGTTAAATGACATGTGTTATCATCATCCAGTACTGGAGAAAATCCAGGTTAATAATATAACAAGACAAATTCAACTCGACATGTAGTTCTACATAATCTAGGATCGACATAAAAAACAATTGTGACTTCTGAGAATTGCATAGAAGAAGAATAATTTGGACAAGCAACATCATCACCTCAGCCATAATCATCCAACCAACATCAAAAACCTCAAGCATCATCTTTTGAGTATGTTGTTTTGGTCTATAAAATATTTAATCCAATCACATTATCAAAACTCTTCAAAAATTTAATATCAAATGATTATTTCAAACCAAAACTTTCACATAATATTGAAGATCAAGATCATAAGCAAAAACTCCAACTCTTGTGTTAGGTTCACTCCAAATCTTTTAGGAGATATTGAAGTTGTCGCAACCCGAATTTCGGTAGAAGACCGACAGTCTGAAAAGCCTTACTCATTAGTGGATGACAATGGTTGCTCTAATAATATTGAGTGAAAACAACACTTCTTGAGATAGTGGCTCTAAGAAGCAAAAGTATGAACCAATTATGGGAAATTTCAAAATAATCATTCTTCATCATCACAATGCAAAGTGCAACACAAATTGTTACATCAGTATCAATGCAATTCCCTCCCAGAACTCAAGACATGTACTTCTCAAGGTGGATCTTACCTATGTAAAAATGGTAGGAGCCATGCATGAATGATCTTGATGATCAAGAAGGATGAGCCAAGAAAGCTTAAAGATAAAGAAAGAATGAGAAATAATGAATTGAATTGAATAACATTTCCAATTTGTAAAAATGAATTGAATTCAAAGATTAAGACATATATACTACATTTCCTAACTAACAATTAACCAACTAAAAAACAACTAACAGTTAATTGATTAACTATACTGTTAATCGATTAACTCTTACAGAATTACACAGATACAAAATAGAATACACAACTATTTTAGCAACCTAAATTATGTACCCCTTCTGACTTTTTCATTTCAGAACTAGAATGACTGCTACAGTATTTTCAATTGCTATCAGAAGCAAAACAGGAATTGGGTCCCCATTACTGAACTTTTTTTCTACATTTAATGAATTATGTCGTTAGAAAAGAACTAAACAACAACAGATAATTGAGAATTCGTTGCACAAATAGTTCATGGAATCACAAACGTAAGCCAAACAAGAAAATATAGAATGCAGTAACCAAATACCTGAACAAAAATAACCCGAAGTTAAAGAAAATGAGAAAGCCTAGGGACACATTTCTTTTATCAATGTTGCAGTATACTCAAATATTGACCATTGGTTTGCTAATAGGCCAGCGTGAAATCGTCAAGGGCGTGGGTGGTGTCATCCTTGCTGAAAGTGAGAGAAGAGAAACGGATGAGTTAGCTGTAGCATGTGGAAGGAAACAAACATGATTTCAGATATTACGACGAAAATTTTAAACCTCCAGGCTCCGGAGAAAGCAGTTGATGGATGCAGGGATTGCATACCATTACAGAATTGCGAAATCAGAAGAGGAAAAGAACCAAAACAAGAAAAGTTGCTTCATATCTGAAATCAAAGTTCAAATGTGCAGGAGAAACAAATAGCTAGAAGGGAGATAAAGCACGAAAAAGAAAAGTATTGGCAGAGGAAAAATAAGAGACATGTCAGACTGACATTGTCAGTTTCTGATAGAGAAATGAACCGTTTAGAAACATAAAATACTCACCAAACCGCCATCACTCTCACGAGAAAGAGATCCCTCCTTTGATAAATAGGGGTGATGCATTCCGTCAACTACAACAACGATAGTTGATAAACACATGTGCAGATGACTCTGCATTCATATAAGTCAACTCTGAGCCACAGTTCCAGACCCCTCCAACAGATTTGTTTCTCTGCCATATCCGTCATTTCGATTGTAAGATTTATTATGTGAGTAAGAAAATGTCAAGAAAAATGCTATTAACAAAAAAGTCAAGAAACAAGCAGAAATAATCAACCAATTCTAAACCTTCCAGTTGATCTTATCAGTAGGCTACAATGAGCAACTCTTACGAACATTTACACGAGAATCCTAAAAGAATTGGAAATATGGAACTAAATGCAAAAAAAGAAATCTAATTATAAAATCAATATTCCGAAGATATGTAATGGTTGTGGAATGTGGAGTGGAGACAAACACGAATCAGGCAGGAGCAAGAAGAAAGGTAGAATGGAGCAAAAGGGTATAGTGAGTACTTGACTGTTAGGAGAATTTCTTCTGTCATAAATCACCAATGGGCCAAGCTAATATTACTTCAGATGAGAAGCAAATTTATGGAAAGAATTATGATTTCAACCGACAGCCATGCATCTGTTTCATGGGAAAACCTCATGGATAATTCAGACAGGCACATATTTGATCAATGCCAAAACATTGTGGATAATTCAGACAGGTGATGATATCCAAGAAAAAATTCATAAAACATCACGGCGCAAAATATACTGTATTTGAAAATTAGAGTAATGCCTCATAGAAGAGGGAAGGAGGTTACACATATATATACATATATATATATATCCAACATTTTCTTCTTCTGAAATCTGAACTGAAGGTAGAATGATGAGAAAAGGGTTAAAACCTTTGACATGATTCAGCACACCATTTGCTTTTTAACCAACATGACATAATCAGAATTGCAACAACCATTCCAGCACATTTGTAAGAAGATTTCACTTTGTGCAGTTATCTCATGGAAAACATTTGAAAAAATTCCGATACAGTTTTGAAACTAAACTATCTGGAGGATTAAGTAACATATATACCAAGACTATACATTATTTTGGTTTGAGGACCAGGGCTAAGGGAAGAAGCCTACACTTTGAAGAAATTTGCTGCACAGAGTGTGACAATGAGAGGGACAAATATCAATTATGTTTTTTGTACACCGAGGAAGGAAGAAGGATACCAAAGTGGAAGACCTTCATTTTTCGGTAAAGGAAGTTGACCCATTTTAGTGTCCTTCCTTGATGTATATATAATGGTACTCGACGAATATTATACTCTTCAACTATTACTACTAGGTAATGCAAACTGTTCCAGGAAGCATGCTGAGGATCTGAAAGTAATATGCTCTATATGGTTGGAATATGAGAACTATTTTGAATTCATGGATGGCATTATGGGCAGACTTGTTATATAGATAGGCAATCATGTAAAGTAAGCATGGTGTAACACTGAAATATGTCCAAGATGATAATTGGTAATTGGTCATTGACTCAATAAGTTGTGTAATGAAACTCAAGATTTTTTTGGGTACTACTAAGGGTTCCCCTCACCTTTTGGGCAAGGAACTAATCCATTTTAGGGTTCGTGGCTCCCCCTCCCAACAAGTGTCGCTCCCAGGAATCGAACCTTTAACCTTTTGGTCATCTTGGGGATCTAGTGGGGTCTTACACTACTAGACCAACGCCTTGTTGGTAATGAAACTCAAGATGCTAACAGGTAATGCTAACCCAAGCACTGAGGTGAACATAAAAAGGAAAAGGGTAAGATATGTCTGGACAAGGCAGTGAAAGAAGAATGTTTCTTTTATTTATCTATTTATTTATTGTAATAGAAAGTTTTTTATATAAAGATTTCTTTAAATTTCATGAAATCAACACTTTATGGTCCAAAATTAGCATCGACATGGAAGCATCAAATGACGAGCCTAAGTCAGCTTACATTTTCAGGTTGAGGAAGTTAAAAGCAATGATCCATGAAAAACCTCCTAGATGAATTAACAGCAGTACCTCCAACTCTATTATAAGGCCCTCCCTTTTGAGTATTTATATCTATGGAAGTGGTATCAAAATCGGCATTCTGGGTCAAACCAAACGTCACCATAGCTTGAGCACAATTTATAGTAAAAAAGAGAGCATGCAGACAAAGCTCCTAAAATGCTTCAGCTTTTATTGTTCGCCTGAAAAGAAGAATAGAGAAACAAGGCTTCTTGATATTTAAAAATGACTAACATATTGCTTAAGTTTCAGTATAACAGAGACCATACTATATAACTCAAGAGCCTGATTCAGAAGAAATAAAGATATGGGGTAGGTAAGACAGAACACGCTAACCATGTGCACACAAATTGAGAAATAGTATCACATTAAAAGCATCAACTAACTGTTCTAAACTCTACCCAATAATTTCAAGTTAAAGTATTTACCACATATTTTGTGACGTAGGAAAAATGATCCGCAACACTTGCCAAAAAATGTGGTCCGGACCACTAGTGGAGAGTGACCCATACATCTTTAGTCAAACGTCTCCCATCTTACCAGTAATCTTTACATGAACAAACTCCACCTTCAAAATGATGAAAACGATATGCATCTCTCACTAAGATCACTTGATCAGATATCTTAGACACACACTTAATCCAGTTGTGGCAATCGCTACAAACGCGGAGATTTTTGAAAACATGGATAGGAGTGGAGCTAGACAAATTAAGCAATCCAAAAGCAATTGCCAGTTTCTCACTGTGAATAATCTGTGTTGGATTCTTCTGACCCCGTTCTGCATCATTCAGAAGGATATTGCACTGTGGCACATAACCAAGCTCACTTGCCCGTTCATTCAGATCACTGAGATATTCATATATCATATCTGCTCTAGGGTGGTTCTGATCACCAGCAAAAAATGCATTAACTTCATTATTAACCACTATCCAGCTACGACCAGGAACTTTCTTAACACCTCTATCTTTCATCATTTGCCTTGTCCGATCCCTGCAGCCCCATTTCCCAGTCACTGCATACATATTAGATAGCAGAACATAGGTTGCTGAATCTTTGGGTTCCAGTTTCAGAAGATGACTTGCAGCAAATTCTCCAATATCGATATTCTTACGAACAATACAAGCACTTAAAAGGGTCCTCCAGATCATTGCATCTGGTTGAATTGGCATCTCCTCTATAAATCTTCTAGCACGACTTAAAAGACCAGACCGCCCAAGAAGATCCACAATACATGCATAATGTTCAGGTTTTGGCACCAAACTGTGCACTTCTCTCATTGATTTAAAGTAACTAATTCCCTCATCCACCAAACCGACATGGCTACATGCTGTTAAAACTCCCACAAAGGTGACATGGTTTGGCAATAAACCAAATTGTTTCATGTCCTCAAAAAGTTTTAGTGCTTCAAATCCACGACCATGTTGAGAATAACCAGTAATCATGGCATTCCAAGAAACCTCATTCTTATCAGTCATTTCAAAGAACTGTCTCTCAGCATCGCTAAGGAGACCGCATTTTGCATACAGTGTGATCAAAACATTAGAAACCTCAGTTTCTAAATCATAGCCAGTTTTTTTAATCATAGCATGAATTTGCATTCCTAGTTTAACATTAGCAACATTGGCAGCAGCACTAACCACAGGACCAAATGTGAACGAATTGATTTCTATTCCAGCTTTATTCATTTCAACAAATAGTTGCAGTGCTTCGTCATACTGTCCACTTTGTGCAAAACCAGATATCAATGAGTTCCATGATCTGTTATCTTTAGCAAATATCTTGTTGAAAGCAAAGTATGCTTCTCGTACTTTCCCGCACCTTGCATAAAGACTAACAAGTGCATTACCAACCGAAAGATCATCTGAATAACCAGAGACACATGACTGAGCATGAATCTGCCGTCCTTGATCGAGAACTTGGATACCTGCACATGCACTGATTGCACTTGCAAATCCTATATTATCAGATTGTATCCCTTCATCTTGCATTTCTTCAAAGAGGTTAAGAGCTTCGGCAAACATATCATGTTGTGCATATCCAGCAATCATGGCTGTCCAAGAAACAACATCTTTCTCATTTAGTCTTCTAAGAATATTTAGGGCAGTCTCTAGTTTTCCAAGTTTAGCGTACATGTCAATAAGCACACTCGAGACATACACATTGAACTGAAAGCCACTTTTTAGTATTTGAGTATGAATCTGTTCTCCTAGATAAAGAGCTCCCAAAGAAGTGCAAGTTCTCAAAATACTTGGATAGGTGAATTCATTAGGTATGATGCCTTCTATCTGCATCTGTTTAAATATTTCAAATGATTCATTTAGATTGTCTAACAGACCATACGCCACGAGCATCACATTCCACAGAACGACATTTTCAGTTTCTGTTGTAAGGAAAAAATCGTGGGCAGTTTCTATATCTGAGCATTTTACATAAAGGTCAAGTAGTGAGCCTTCCAGGATTAGGTCTGAAGACATTCCTGACTTTATTGCATATGAGTGAAGTTGTTTTCCTTTCACAAGAGCTCCAACTGATGCACAGGCGCTCAAGAGACTCGCAACGGTAATATAGTCGGGCTTTAAGCAATCTATATGCATTTTCTTAAACAACTCTAAAGCTTTGTCACCATGTCCCTGTTGAGCTAGACCCGAGATGAGTGAGTTATATGAAACTCCGTCCCTCTGCAACATTGCGTTAAAAATATGTTCTGCAAATTTCATGTTCCCTGAACGGGAATATAATAGCACAAGTGCATTGCACACATGTGTTTCGGAAGAGAATCCCTGCTTCAGAATAAGGCCATGGAGCTGCTCACCGAGCACAAAAAATTCTACTTTTGTACAGGAACTTAGAACACTCGAAAAAATATACGGGGTGGGGAGGATTCCTGATGTATGCATCTGGCAAAATAGAAGAACAGCTTCTTCTTCATACCCATTTTGAGATAAACCAGATATCATAGCTAGCCAAGAAACAGTATCCCTATTTCGTAAATTGCAAAAAACCTTCTTAGCAGAATTCACAAAACCATTTTTAAAGTAGAAATCAACCAAAGGATTACATATCAAAGGACTAGTTTCCAAACCATGAGTTATAGTGACGCCATGTATTTGCTCCACATAGTGTAAAGGAACAACATTCCCACCACAAGCCCTCAAAACCCCAGCAAAAGATTTCTCATCAGGTTTCACTCTTTCCTTAATCATTTGCCGAAACAAACCAAAAACTCGATCCGTCATCTTCTTGGCAACAAACCTATGAATAATCTTATTCCAACAAGATAAGGGTCTAATTTGCATATCATCAAAAACCTTAACTGCAGAATCCAAATCACCAAATGCAATATACAAATCCATAACACGTTCACACAAAAGCACTTCAGAATAAAAACCCATCTTTAGAATCTTGCCATGAAGCTTCCAACCATCTGAAAATGACCCAGAATTGATACATCCTTCTAACAACCACAGATAAGTTTGAGAATTGGCACAAACACCACGTTGTTCCATAACATGCAAAAAATCAATTACCTTTCCACCCTCTTGTTCATTTTTCCTCTCAGGAAGTTCATCATAAGCATATGAAACTGCAGTATTACTAAAAGCTGCCAAATTCAACTTCCAACTAAGTAACTGCACAGAAAGAAAAAAACAAATAAGGGATTAAAAAATAAAACTTTTCAACATAAGAAACATGAAGTTAAAGAAGTAAGTGCAGAAATTGATTGAATTGTTTTAGCATTACCTTGTGATTAATAGAAATGGGTTTAGGGTGAAATGGGATTTTGAATTTGGATGAAAAAGGATAGGACTTTGGATATAGGAAGAAGAATCGACGAAGTGAAAAAGGAGAAGGAATCATAGATTGATGGGTTACCATATAATCCACCAAACAATAAACAAGAACAAAAGTTTTAGTTGTCACCAAAG